AGAGAAAAGGAAAGAAAAGGAGAGAAAAGAAAAGGAGAGAAAAGGAGAAAAGAAAAAGAAAAGAAAAGGAAAGGAAAAGAAAAGAGAAAAGAGAAAGAGAAAAAAAGAAAAGAAAAGAAAGGAAAAGAAAAGAGAAAAGAGAAAGAGAAAAGAGAAAAGAGAAAAGAAAAGAGAAGGAGAGCAGCAAGTTCTCCTTGCTTTATCAGCTCTGATAAGAGCTATCAGAGTGAGTCTATCACAACCCCCCGGGCACTCAGCAGGACCTGCAACTCTCCTCGGGCACTGAAGAGAAAGGAGAAGGGCATCTGATAGGAGCCAACTGCTCCTTGCCAGGCTCCCCAGCAGCACTGCCAGACCCTGTGCAGAGCCCTGGGCCTGCTGCGGGCTGATAAGGGCGAGGAGGGGCTGCCCTCCCCAGGGGCAGGAATCTCACTGACCTTCATGCAGCAGAAGGTATAAAAGCCAAAGGGTTTTTCTCTGCGACTGTTTGGGCACTGGTTGCATTTCTTGGTTTCTGAGAAGGACACATTTTGGGGGGATTTGGGGAGAAAATGGCAACTTTGAATGAAAAAAAGACCTGCAGCGAACGGATGGAAAATTTCCGTCGTTTTGTCTGGAATCCAGAAACAAAGCTCTTCATGGGAAGGACCTTAATTAACTGGGGTAAGTTTTCACACACAGGAGTCTTGTCCTGCTTCTGGTAGGCTTAAAAACCTTGGCTGTGGGGTCGTCCTAATGAATGGGATATAATATGGTGGGAGATGTGTTGCAATTATTGAGGACATCTTCCAGTTATCGAGGATAACTTCCAATTATTGAGGACATCTTCCAATTATTGAGGACATCTTCCAATTATTGAGGATATCTTGCAATTATTGAGGATATCTTGCAATTATTGAGGATATCTTGCACCAATTATTGAGGATATCTTGCAATTATTGAGGATAACTTGCAATTATTGAGGACATCTGATCTCATATATGCTCCTAAGACACTTTTAGGATGGCCCTATAAGCTGAATTAATTAGACCAAAACATTGATCCCATTAGTTCCAGCTAAAGTAAAAAGACTTTAAATTTTTGGTTTTGGACCAAATACTTTAAAAGGGCAAAACTTAAGACAGGAACAGGTTATGAACAGCTAAGAGGGATGGCTGCAGTGTGGTTCTGACCTTCCTGACTAGAGGGGGGTTTCTGGTATATGGAGAATTTTGCTTAACTATTTTTTTGTCCACTTCTCTGGAAACGTGTTTTGCTTTTCCAAAATTTCTTTCTGAATTCCTGCCTGCTCAAAACATCTCACAAACCAGCAAGACAACACGTTCTGCTGAAGCTGATGTCAGCTGTAAAAGGCAGGGGCATGATACGGGTCTGATACACCTGAAATATTGACATCTGGCATCAAAATAATACAAGGAGCAACTTGTTTTTGTCAAAGAAGTGTCTCAGCTCTGCTGCTGAGCACACAGAGAAGTGATCTTGACATGGGAAGTTGCTTCAAGAAGCTACACAATCTTTTAAGCAGGAAATAATCTGAGCTAAGCACCACCTACTTCCAAAATCCTTGTAAAACTGGACAAATTAAGCCTATTTTATCTAGAATATTCTTTTGAATGCAGAGTCAAAGATCCAAAGCACCTGTCCCTTCCCAAGGAAAAACCTCCCTGGGGTGTAAGGTGGAAAGGAGTTGGCCACCAGTGCCAGGCTGCTCCTGGCCACAGAGGGACCAGTGCACCTCCCTGCTCCCAAAATGAGATATTTCCCCATTTGTTTCTGCAGTGTGGATCAGCCTGTACTACCTGGCCTTCTACGTGGTGATGTCAGGGCTGTTTGCACTCTCCATCTACTCTCTGATGAGGACAGTGAATCCCTACGAGCCAGACTACCAAGACCAGCTGAAGTCCCCAGGTGCTGCCATGGTCCAGCCTGCTGCTGGGGGGTGGGAGTTAAAACCCCCTCAGGGCTACCTGGGGCTGGGCTGAGGTGTTGGCACAGTCTGGGAGTGAGAATAAATCATGGCAAACCACCCCTGCAAAGTTTAACCTCCACCTGAAAATACTTTTAGGCTTTAAAAGAGAAAACAAAAAAAGGGGCATATTTATTTCATTTATATATTTTTATATTTACATAGGTGTTTATCAAATATGAAGGTATGCAGGAATGGAATAGAGCAGAATTTGGAATGGAATGGAATGGAATGGAATGGAATGGAATGGA